TCCTTCTTTTTTTCTCCCCTCTTTCTCTCCCTCCACTCTTTTTTGTTTTTCTTTCATTTTCTTTCTCTCCCTCTCTTATTTCTCTGGCTCTTCTTTTCTTCCTCCCTATTCCCTTATCTCTCATTCTTTTTTCCTCATTCCTTCTTGCTCTCCTTTCTTCCCTTCCACCCTTCTTCCTCATCCTCTGCCCTCCTCTTTCTCCTTCCTCCCTCCTCATCTCCTGTCCTCCTCATTCCCCTTCCTCCCTCCTCATCTCCTGTCCCTCTGTCTTCTCTCACTGTTTCTTTCCACTCAGTGATTTATCTTCCACTGTTAACACAGCTCAATAACCACACAATCTAAGGAAATAATGTCTCACCTCCCTTTTCCCCAAGTAAAGGCACCTTAGAAACCATTTGATCACTTTTTAGTTTACGTTATTTTGTCTTTCTTTTCAGCATACTCTGCTTTTGTGTTATTTGTTATCAATCAGTAAGAACATGGTATTCTAAAAGGATTAAGAAATGAACAGATGGCCTTGTTTTTTATCATCCCCCAGGAGTGCTCCTTCTTGTTCCTCAGGGACAACAGTTTTTCTTCCTAGTATAATTTGTTTTCTCCTCTGTTGTTCGTCTCCAAATCTCTAAGTAATACTCTGATATAGCTATAGTTTTCATTTCTGTATGTTACAATCACCCTTTAGCATGACTAATCATGACTTAGCTCTTTCTCTTCCCCACCCTGCCCCAGAGCTCCACCTTTCCCTTTATAAACACATATGCTTACAGTACTGGGCTTAATGGTTATAAAGTGGACTCAGTGATTTCTACTCCATAGCAGACTAAGCATTTCTTATCGGGAAACACACAATCAAATAAGGATCAGAGAAAAATGATAAATATTAATTTATTGTAACTATTAAGGTGTGTAAGTTAGCAAAATAAGTACATTAAGTGATGGAACTTCAGGCAGAGGGAATGATCAAGTCAGGACATGCCTTCCTTTTAGGACTATTGGTCAATGAAAACAGAAGGGCAGGTATTAGAAGAAGACAGTTAAGTGTAAACACTGGTGAGTTCCTATGTGTGATCATAAGCTAGAGGTAAATAAACATTTCCACTTTCGGGTCCACTCATCTCTTTTGCAAAGGGCCAGCTGTAGAGATGTGAAAGCAGCTTTAGAAATAGATTAATGAGCAGCTATGGGTGTATTTCAATAAAACTTTATTTGTAAAACTCCCTACTACAAGCCATTGCAATGGTTTTGTATTCTTTCATCCTGACTGCAGTCCAGATGCTGCCAGACAAACAGCTGAAAACTGTACAGAAGCTAAGAAGGAGCTTTACCTTTTGAAAAGGTTGTAACACATGTGCACACACACTTAAATACATAAGTGAAGAAAAAAGTACAGAGAAAAAGAATGAGCATAAACCCTAAAATAATTATTACTTGTCTATTTACAGAGAAAAGAATGTTAGCTTTTGCACTACAGTGAGATGTACAAGAATCAGTTGAGCTTTTCTCTCTGCTCATTGCACTCAGTTTTTATTCTTTGAAGTGTCAATAATGATTTTGTTTCAAACATAACAAGTCAAAAAATGTCTCATCTATTTTATATTGAAGACTCTCCAAATTTTCACCAAGTATATAATCTCTTTCTTATGGAAGTCATTTTATATTTAAATTTTACTTTAATTATATACTTCAAATTTTAAACACATTTCCAGAACTGGAAACCACATCTGGCTAATGGCTATCACATGGTGCAACCTGTTTCTAGGAGCTCTAATGAGGAGCCTTCGCATTCATCCCCACCCTCCATGTGTGACTGATATTGGTGTGGGGTGCCAGTCAGCATTCCTAGTAAGGAACCCCCAGTAGCTGATAGGATCAATGGAAGATCTTCAGAATCCATCACCAATCCACTCTTCTTGGCAGTGAAAATATAGTTCTGTGATACTGGGACTGTAAGTCTCTCCATGGGGACCTTTGCGACACAGCCAGAGACATGGTTGACATCATTACAACTGCCAACAAATAAGAAAGGGTAATTCTAATTCTCCTTAGAAATATTTCAGCTCAGCTCACATTCCAACACACTGCAACTGGAAAAGTGATTATGTGGTTGGCCACACCCAAATTATACAGCTCTATTTATACACATGGGGCTGACATGTGTATAAACATATGTAAGCATATAAGCATATTAGCATAACATGTTAACTACCACAACACATGAGATACTTTTAGGAAACTGGGACCATTCTTGAGCATAGTAAACATTAAGTAAGTGTTCATCAACATCAACAAAAAATGCTCCAAATAACACCAAAAGCAAGAGAAAGACAATAAACTTATTTGCTTTGAATTTATTTTTATGACATATACATACTTGAAGACCAACCAAATTCTTAGATTATAAGGTTAACACTGGTGATTACAGAGCCTTGCTAACCTTAAAGGTAATTCAACACTTGCTTTGAAACCTGTATTTTTTTTTGTAAGTTTGTGGGTAGTTCAAAGAGATACACTAAAGCTTCAGTCTTAGTCCTGTATGAGAGAGTAAGTACTACCTTCTTGCTATTAGTATAATTTCAGATTTTTTTCCTCCACGAACACCTATTAAAATTGCTAAGGAGGAGAATGCTATTTAAAATTGGAAGAATAGTTTTCCTCTTTTGGAATACTTCCAACATCCTGTCTGAATAGTACCCTAGTCTTACTTACTAGTCCAACCATTTATAATTTAGTCACCAAAGTGTGTTGCCCTGGCAGCTACAGGACACAGTTGCCTGGGGCTTTGTTTTTAACTCTTATTTCTTCAGAACTAACATTCCCCTTTGAGGAGACAAAGCTTCCTATCCCTGCTTAAGTTCATTAATCAGGAAAATTATATGAGTGGAAGTTCAGGGCAAGAGCAGGAGAAATGGATCAGAGGGGAGGGAGCCTTTGTTTCCTTTCTGGGGAATTTGGACAAGATTTAATAAGGACCATTTCCCACTTATTACTTTTTGAAATACATAACAGCTGAGGAAAAGTATTAATTTGGGGTTTATAAAAATGCTGATTCGTATACCCAAAGCCAATTACACAAAATTGGGGTAGGTCATGTCAAAGGGAAATCATGTGGCCTCAGTTATTTGTGTGATGAGGCAATCATGCCCTGCACATTTTCTCAGGTAAGGACTAACAGAAAGCTTCTGACATTTCCCAGGATTCCTTGCCAATGGTAATTTCCTGTGTCTGTCACCCCCCACCTCCTCCTCTCTCTCCCCTCCCCCACTTCCCTCCAGCCAGGTTGTTTGCTGCCCCTGTCACCCCCTACCCCTTTCTCCCCTTCAGCCAATCTTTCTTCCACAGAGATTTTCTGTGTGTTGTTTTTATTGAGAGATTCTAAAGCATATTTAATCATGGGTTCTGAACATAGCTTCAGGATAGTGATGGCATCGGACTCCTCATTAAATTCAAACCACAGCGACCCAGAGCCAAAGCTGATATAGTTGAGATTCCTTTTCTCTTGGTATTTATTTGGCTTTTAAAAGACACTTGGTTAGAAGCAGAAAGTTTCAAGTTTAAGTGTTTACTTTCGATCTTTTCAATGTAAACATTGTAGCTCTGGTTTGCAATCTTAATGTACTTTTATATGTTTAAATTTCTTTTTAACTGACAGACAAAAAACGAAAGCTGTGTATATTATAATAGGGTGTTAGGTTTCAGTACATGTACACAGTATGGAATGCTAAATCAGATTAAATACCTCCATGTCCTCAAAATTTCATTATTTCCTAATGTTAAAAAACATCCTTTTAGTTTTATGAAATGGACACTATACTTCTGTTACAGTCATCAATAACTTACGGCTTTGAGCTAACTAAAATTTAGCACTTGTTGATTTTACTCCATTTTAAATTATAATCACAATAGCTTATAGATCCAAAAAATACACCCTATTATTCCCTCACTTTCTCCAGCTTTTATTGTGAATTCCTTCTCAAGCTTTTGCTCTCTGTGTGCCTTCGTGCAATTACAAGTATTGCCTAAGATTCAGTCTGTTTTAATTTGATGGAGCAACATGCAAATGAAGGAGTCCTCCACTTCAGGAAAATCACACTGTGCTGACAAGAATCAGAAAATGACTATTTTCTCCAGTCACTGTGATCTTTCAACTTCTCAAACTCAGATGGCGATCTTAAATACCAGTGTATCATAGGTCTTAAGAAATAATTGCGTCTGTTCATGTGGAGCTGTGTGCAGCCACGGCTCTAGAGTGCAGAAAGTTTCTAGCTTTGTAAATATTAGATGTGACAGTGTTGCTAGGAAACACACCCGGGAAGTAAGTAGAATACAAATTATGAAGTCTAAACTTTGCTATTGCAAACAATAGTCCTAAGGCACCTTTCTATTGTCAAAACAGTTGGGCATACAACATTTTTATGCACGCGTTAAAGTTAAGAAGCAACTCCTTAAAATGAAGTAATCGTTTCCTGTTTCATTTTCCATTTTCTTTTCTCTCTGAGAGCCGAGTTGCTTAAAGTCACCACGACAAGTCTGTTGCCAGTTTACTTCTTTTGGATTGGCTAAGCCCCTCTTTAAGAGTATGCTTTGTTCAGGGAAATGCTTTGGGTCAGTTGAGCAACACATCGCTACTGTTAAAAAAAAAAAAAAAAGCTGAGTAATGTTGGCGCTTTCTCAAGCTGGAGCTTTCTCATGTGGCTGATGCAAACCTGGAGAATTTGCATCATCATTGTAGCCCAGTAAGTTGGTGTGACAGGCGGTAGCATAAATAGGAGTCCACGAGGAAGCTGAGCTGGTGTGTAATGATAGGGCAGCAGCCGCGGCTGCAGCAAACCCACTGCTCCTGGAGCCGGTGCGGTGCCACACAGGTGCTCCGAGGACTAGAGGCATAATTAGACAGCCGGGAAGGCTAAAACACACCTCTGGGGTTTCACCTGTGGACATCAGCGTGCAGAGCCAGTCAGTGAAAGCAAAGAGGTAGCCGAGACTCAACAGTGATCAGTCACATCTAGAGAAACCAAAGTTGAAAGTTTTTGTTTTGTTTTCCCTCTGTTTTTTCTTTCACTCCCCTCCCCTGGCGTGACACTACCATGGTCAGAAAGCCAGTTGTGGCCACCATCTCCAAAGGAGGTTACCTGCAGGGCAATGTGAGCGGGAGGCTGCCCCCCATGGGGGGCCAAGAGCCACCAGGGCAGGAGAAGGTGGTTCTGAAAAAGAAGATCACTTTGCTGAGGGGGGTCTCCATCATCATCGGCACCGTCATCGGATCGGGCATCTTCATCTCCCCCAAGGGCATACTCCAGAGCACGGGCAGCGTGGGCATGTCCCTGGTTTTCTGGTCTGCCTGTGGAGTACTGTCACTTTTTGGTGAGTGCACTTCTTCTCTGGGGGTGTGGCTGTGTGGCTCTCTGGGAAAGTAAAGGGTTATTTCTGAGGAGTAAGTGAATGGCAAATGCTACAGGAAATGTTTTGAATTTTTGTTGTTGTTGTTGTTCAGGTATGTGCACTACCCAAACACACTGTCCACTGTTGGCTTAGGCGGAATCCTCTCAGATTCTTTCCTTCAGGCTATACTCTCCTTCCCTGCCCGAGACGGACTCTTGTATGATTTTTCTCTGGTGTGATGAGAGCAAAAACTAACTTTGATGACCCAGAAAGCCAAACAAGCCCTCTCTGCCAAGGGTTTGGGCTTTGTGAGGCATGCTTAGAGCGTTGTGGCAGCTGGCTGGCTGGCTGGAACACCTGCGAGGTGCAGCCTGCATGGCCTATTTACATGCAGAACTAGATGTTCAGAAGAGTGTCACAGACGTTTCATTAGCTTAACAAATGGGTGGCACTCTTTGCCTTTTTAATATTTTTAATTCATAGGCTTGTCCATTCCTCATATTATGCAAAAGTCCTTGGAAAGGCAAGTGTTTGATGTGACTCAGAGTTTGTAAGTGACACAACTTTTTCCTCTTATATTTTTTTCTTAATACCTTTAAGAAAATTTCTCAGTATGAGTTTCCAGGCTTCACTTGGGTGTTAGTCTTCACTCCTTGGATCTGTTTTCTTCATGTGTGATTTACTTGGTCTCTAGGGAAACAGATAATTTCTCCACTGAAATAATTTCTTTTACTGAAGTTCATCTGACCAGAACTGGTATTACTATGGTTATTATTTTTCTCTTCAAAATTTGTTCCTTTGATTTGAGGATTAATACTGTAGAAGAAATAATTGATCCTTGATCAGCAGGACAAATCAACATAAAACTCTCCAAGTTCATTGTGAAGGTGACAAAATGGTGAAGGGTCATTTTTATTTTTTTATTTGATTTATACTTTGGTCCCAAAGTAGCCCACCCTTCAAAGTTACTTTGTTACTCCGGGACCAAGTGTTAACTCTTGCTCCATTCATTCCTTCTGCTTAGGTCTTGTGGTATTTTAAATCACTGTTTGGGGAAAGTTACCTACCCAGAGAACTCAAATATCTGTTTCTAGGATGGAGGCATTTTGAACAATTTTGAAAGCAGACTTACTATAGAAAGATCTATAGAGGAATTGCTTTAAGAATCTGGAAAACTTGGTGGCATAATTTATGTGAATAGATTATGCTTGATGAAATGTTTGGTGACAGCTGTGTGCTGTCCCTTTCCAGTTCTCTTCATTCCTGGGAGTAATACAGTTATCAAAAACTCCAGCAGAATCCTTACTGTTATTAATATTAAAGTGGTTCTGGCAAATGCAGGTACAAATAAGCAAGGAGAAACTCAATTGTTGATCTTAAGTGACAGTGTACCCCCAGGCTTTCATTATCTTACAGTACTTGATATATTTAGAATAAATCAATATCTAATCAGAAAAACTACAACCAGTTTCTCAGACTTTGCATACTTCTACACAGGCAGCTAGCACTGTGTGATTTGATTTTCACATATAATCAATGGTCATTCAGATGCTGTAAAATAAATTACCTTGAATGTTGAGCTCGTTAAAGACACATTGACTTGAATGGTGAAAATATGTTTTATATAAGTCTGTCATCCTTGATGGAAACTCAGGAACCGATAGAGAGCAACTGAGGGAGTGTAATGTGAGTTTGAGCTCTAACTTCAGAGATGTGCTCTCATATCGTTTCCACTTAAATTACGGGGAGCTTTCTTGGCATAAAGTCTTCACAAATAGAAAGCAATCGAGGTATGAGGAGAAAATATTTCTCTTACTTAAAGCTCTAGAATTCAGAGAATACAAATCTAGAATGTGGACCAAGAAAGTCCCCAACTTAAGATGGTTCATCATATGATTTTTTTTTTTTTTTGCCTTCCAGTGGTAGGTGATAAGAATTTGTTTTTCAATAAATTACTTGAGATATTTTAACACTTACAAAATGAACTTTTCATAGGATGATTTTGTCTAGCTCAAAGCAAATGTGTAGGATAGTGGCTAGGCTATGTGTGGCCAATGAAGTTCCCACTGACTAGTGTTTTGAATGTTTTGGGGTACACAGTCACCCTCTGTAAGGGGAGCAGCATCTGTATTTGGTTTACAACTTTTTGAGCACTGAGGTCAACACATGGACTTTTATAGCCTGCTTTGAACTTCTTTTCATCTGGGCACACAGTTATGGAGCTTGAGATCTTTCAATGAAAATTCCATTCTCCCAGAACTCAATTTAAATCTGGGGCAAAGTGTGCAGAGGTCTGGGTATTGATTCTCTCACAGTAAATTCCAAAGTGCTGAAGACTCTTTCCAATAACTAGGTTATATTGGTTGCTTTTCTGGACAACTTGCCAACATGGTGACTACTTTTTCAGAAGAAGTTTACTAGAGCTAGTTACCTTTAATTCTAAATTAATGAAATACTCCAGAAGTTCTTAAATAGGTACCTGTAAGCTTATCACTTTAGCATCTCTTGGCTTTAAAAGGCAGTAGAGCTGCTTGGGTTGTTCTTTGGTGTCTGGACTCTGAGAATGCATTGAGGTGTGGTCTTCAAGTCTTTCCTTATCTGTTCACTCTTTACTTTAAAAAAAAAATTCCCCAAGTGACTCTGAAATAATGCTCAATTTAGGGATTGGGTAAGTGACACTCAGACTTCACTAAATTTCCAAATTATATTTATTTTGGGTGTTCTATAGGAGATGCTGTTGATCAGTGATTACTTTCCACATGTGGAACCTCTTTAGGTGCTTGGGCAGAAACTATGTTACCTTTGAGTACTAAGCAATGGATTCAGAGTTTTTTTTCTTTCTTTTTTGATAAAATTAAGATTTATTTTTATTTCCTTCATAATTAACTATGAACTAGTTGATAAATATAGTGATATCATCAATGTGGCATTTGCTGTGTCAGAATCAGTGCTTCCTGTGGTACACTTTACCACCTTTATATGCACAAGTCTTTTTTGAGATTAAAATCCATTTTTTTTTCACTTCAAAGGGGACAAAATTAGGATTTGAGGAGTTTAGATAGCTTCCTCAATCCCATCTGAGTAATATTTCTAAGCACAACTTAGTCTATAATTGATTTTATATTACATACATGACTGTACATATGGAATCTTACTGTAAAACAGTTGTTCTTTCAACTTCCTGGGTGTTCATTTTGAAAACATTCATAATAACCATTTCTGAGAAGAGAACAACCAAATCAAGATTCATTTTGCTGTCAAGACATATTCTATCAATTAACTGAAGTCTCCCAAGGCATGCAGTCCCATTTTTCCCAAAGAACAGATGACCCATGTTTTGATATGCCATAGATACATGATTTATTAAAATTTATTGAATACCATAATGATGTCAGTTTGAGTACATAATTTGTTTGAGCACGAAGTGGTGTTGTTAGTCAAAGAATAGGTCAGTGTCACTGACATCCTCCTTGTCTTTTCCCTCTGCCCTCTGGTTTCTGACCATACATTCACAACCACGTCTGTAGTTACCATTTCAAATGAAATTCCTTTCCTTACATTGATTTTCATTTCCTTTTGATTTTTCTGTCTATGGGTATTTTACCTGTATGCATGCACAACATATGTGCTTGGTGCTGGAGGAGGCCAGAGGAGGGCATTGGATCACCTGGAACTAGAGACACAGACAGGTGTGAGCCACTATGTGGATGCTGAGGGTCGAGTTTGGGTCTTCTGGAAGAGCAGTCAGTGCTCTGAGCCATCTTTCCAGTCTTTGTTCTTTCTTTCTTTCTTTCTTTCTTTCTTTCTTTCTTTCTTTCTTTCTTTCTTTCTTTCTTTCTTTCTTTCTTTCTTAACATGAGGCAGGTCTCAAGTGTGAGGAAGTTAAAAGAGGAACTTGGTGGGTCTCAGTTATGAGATAATAACTGTTCTCATGAAGAAGGTCATTCTTGCCAAAAGAAGTAGCCACATGGCATGTAACCCAAACACTGCTGTATGGATTTTGTCACAAGACTGCTTGATTATATGTCAAATTTGTGCCTTTTTATTATAACCGTCCACAGGAGCCTTGTCCTATGCCGAATTGGGTACGAGCATAAAGAAATCTGGTGGTCATTACACATACATTCTGGAGGTCTTTGGTCCTTTACTAGCTTTTGTCCGAGTCTGGGTGGAACTGCTCATAATACGGTAAGGATGTGGAAACAATTAAGGGAGAATAAGCCTATTCATTTCATCACTTTCCAGGATAATCTTGACTATTTTTAACTAACTACAAATGTGTGTCATGTGACTTTGTAGGAAACATGATAACCCTAAGGCATAAAAAAGTTTTCTTTAAGCTCCAATTTAATTCATATATGTTTTTCTAGGAAAGGTATTTATTAGAGAGGAGGTGAAACTTCAAAATCCACCTTGATGAACTGCACCTTTGACTGGCCAAACACAATTTAATGTACCAAGAATTAGAGTTTTTTTCTGATTGTTGATTATGTCATCAGGCCATTTAACTATACTACTTGTGACTAAGAAATGTCTGTGCCAAAGAACTTAGAGTATTATCAAGTCTTGTGCTTTACAGAAAGTTAAAAAAAAAAAAGATCAAGTTTACATACCATGAGTGATTCATTTCCTCACATTAAACAAACCAGGGATCCGTAGTTGTGAAAATCTTTTGATTGTATTGCTGTAAGACTCCCTACCCCTTCCTGATTGTCTTGGCACTGAATAGCGCCAAGTCACTGTGAACAGCAAATTTCCTTCGACTTTGTGGGGAGTCTGTGATGTCACACCTGCAGCCCGTGTCACGGGTGTTTTGTGCTAACTGCTTCACAGGATGTGACTTGCACTTTCTGATCACAGAGCTCGGTAGCAATCATCAGGGAACCTTGTTCTCCCTGTAAACATAGGACACACAGTGCTGAAATCTCAGGTGAGTTTTCACTCTGCCATGAACATAAGTGACGAAGGCGGAGCTCTCAAGTGGTCCTTAGCAGGAATGATTGCTAATAACAAACTTCAGAGTGCTGCATGCTTCATATTGGTTATGACAGTTCTTCGTGGCTTAGCCATCACTAGAATTAAATGATGATAAAAGAGTGTTTTCACTGTTTCCCTAAGGTCCCCCTGTCTGGAATTTACTTCTCTATCATCTCTGTCACCCTAGTCATAGGCACTCTTCAAAGTTTATCTTTACACCTTTTTCTTTTTTCTTTGTTTTTCTTTCTTTTTTTTTAAACAGTTAATTTCTGGTTTATCCCTAGTTTGTGGCATTTATTTTCATCTCTTAATTCTCCCGAAAACAAAAGTAGCCTCTAAATCCCATTTGACCTTAAACTTGTTACCTTGTATTTTATTCAATACTTTAGCTACTATGTTGCGTTTTTCCCAATTCAAGTATGTGAGATCAGGTCTTACACCTTTTATAACTTTCATACAATTTACACTGGCACTCTGTGTATCCTGGATATGAATTATTTCTTAACAAGTGTCAGAAAGTCCAAAATCACGTTATTTTGAATGTAACAATCTCAGCATTGAATTAAGAACACCGAGAATGCTGGCCTGTCAGGCTGTTGAGCTTCCCAGCCTGATGTCCTTCGACTTCACCCCATCCTCATCCATGCGTTTGTTGTGGAACTTTATCTAATTGCTCAGTGTTGCTATTAGTGTGATCATTCCATTTGCACTGGACAGATACAGTGCCCGTTCATTAAGTATTCGTTCTGAAAATTGCTGCAAATGGTAAATTGCACAATAAAGAGATCTAAATTGGAATGAGCCACATTTCCTGCTCCGAAACAGCTGATAATCAGATGTTGCCTTAATTTTGAAAGAATTGATTCATGGTGTGTGTGTGTGTGTGTGTGTGTGTGTGTAGCTAAATTACCTAAATAATTTTTAGAAGCTTTTAAATACATTTGTATTCCATTTTGTCACACTGGACTCTCACTGCTGGTGTAGCCTTTCAAACAGACCAAGTAACAAATGACATGAAGAAGAACATGGTTCCCTAAGTACATAAAGGCTTCTCTTCTATTAGTAATATGCATGATATCTAAATAGTAATAATTGTGATCTCTAATGTTAAAGTTATACTAACAAATTAAGGCTGTATTGCCAGAAATAACCTGCAAAATGAGTTCAAGCACAGTCACCCAACAGAACATGATGGGGACTTTAAAGTTAAGTTCAATAACTGATAAGTTTCCACTGTGTCACAGATGCTGTGCTAGCCGCTGCACTGGGATAAGATTCTGATTAGCAACAGACACAGTCTTGTTCCCATAGAATTCCAAGTCAAGTGGAGAGAAAGAGTTTCAATCTGGGAATCACATTAAATAGAATAAAAACCCTACTGTGATAAGCAGTGTGGAAGGGACAGGCTTGGTGCTGTGTAAGAGGACACTTAGACAGATCTGACCCAGGCAGAGGGTTGAGGACACGTCTCTGGACCAAGACTGAATGGAAATACAAAGTACAAAAAAGTAGCTACTTGATGTTGATTCCACATGTAGAGCATTCGAGCTGCCCTACATGTGCTGCTCATGGGAGAAGCAAAGGTGGCTGTTTGAAAAGGCTTTGGGCAGAGGTGGTTCGGATCTAGATCCCTGGGTGTTAGGTAACCACAAGAGAAGAGGAAGGGATGCTTGGACCTGAGCGCATATGCAAGACCTGACCATGGCCAAAACATGTTTCAAGGAGACCGAAATGTCAGGACCAGATTTCATTTTACAAATCAAAGACTTTTATAAGTGATAGAGAGAAACAGGAGCATCCCCTTTGGAGAAAAGAGAAAAGGGTCTCTAGGGAGAGAAGAAAGTTACGATGTGTGTGGTGCTGACTGGAGATAGGAGACCAAGGCTGGAGACAGGTGATGGTGGTTGGTTTCTGGTAATCCAGGGATCAGGCCTGGGTGTTAGGTAACCACAAGAAGGAAGAGAAGCTGAAAGGGACTCTTACTTGAGATGTTTAGCAATTCTGTGGATTTCCTTGTGTGTGGCAACAATATGCAGTCATATTGAAGATGAAATGGAATATTTGTTTTTCCCTTTGAAGAAGTAAAGTAGGATGACTTATTGTCTGGGTTTCTGTCTTCTCAGGCTGGGATTTTGTCTTATTCTGTGATTCTCTCTATATAAATATTCTTCAGAAATTCAGAATATTTACTTGGCTTAGAGATTTCTTTTTACTAGAAAATTAAGAGTCAACAATAAATATTTAGACACATTTTGGTAATGAATATTTATAAATACTAATTTTCACAAAGATTTTTAAAAATTAGCCTTTATTGGAATAGACAATATTTCATTTGGAGTGTATGGAAACTTAATGAAATACAAAGTTCTAAGCATAATAAATTTCTGTTAGATAGATTCCACATGTTAGATAGTAAGACCTGAAGATAAAAAAGTTTTAGTGAAACTATTACTTATTGTTTTCTGTAGTTAACCTCAATATATTATTTCTTAGGCCTGGAGCTACTGCTGTGATATCCCTGGCATTTGGACGCTACATTCTGGAACCATTTTTTGTTCAATGTGAAATTCCTGAACTTGCAATCAAGCTGGTTACAGCTGTGGGCATCAGTGAGTATTATAGTTATCACAGAAAATAGGAACACAATGTAACAAGATGATTGGAGGCAAATTTTCTTTAGAATTTTTTGCATGGTATCCCCCAAATTGTGTTCTCTATGCTTACAGTTTCAAATCTGTGTTGGAAACTAGAGGCAGGACCACAAGATTTGAAGTGGCCTCTGCTGTTACAATGCATGCCAACTGTGTTCTGGATCAACAGATGTGGAAGCTGATCTTTTAAAGTAGACAAATAAAAACTCCTTCCTTGGTAAAATATTAAATGGATAGTGTATCACAAGACACTCTTAGAGATGAAGAACTATTCTGAGGAATTGTTTTTGAACTGGAAATTACCCTATGCTAGTGATATATGAAATTGTTACTAGTGAATGGTCCTGGGGTTATGTTTATATGCTGGGTGTGTATGTTGTGTTTGTATTGTTTATAGTGATATATATGGCTGTCACCCTCAGTGTTATCATTTTCTCTGCCTATTTTTGGCCATGATAAGAATTTTCTCACAAGATTTGATAGTCAGTAGCCTTTCTCAGCTAGAAGATTTGTTTACAGGTTGCAAATCAGGAAGTTGTCCATTTTTTTTATTAATGAGCATAAAAATTGAAGAAACAGATGAAATGAAAAGAGGAACATGCAGAAGATTCCATAAGCAACACAGAGCCAAATCTGATGGTCATTTCCTACAAAATTCTAGAATGTCATGGAAAAGGATAATAACTACAGATTGAATCATTGTTTTCTGAATCCTTATGATCATAGTTGACTAAGTTTAACAACCCAGAGAATGGTATATAGGAATAACTGAATTGCATACCCAAGGAAGACTGCTTAGAGGGTTTCTCCACAGAGGCTTAATACAATGACACAAAGCTAAATGCACTTTTGACAGCAGATGCCCTGAGGGCTAGTCTGTAACAAAGTGTGAGTGATTCTATGTAAAAACTTCTCTGGTATGACATACATGGATTTCTCAACTAAACAGCTTAATTGTAAACACACAGTTGTCCTGTGACATCTCTGGAAAGACAAAGAAAATGGCTGAAAAGTAGACATTTTGGAGTTCTGGACATTCAGATGTAGTTGTCTATGACATTCTTCCCTTTATAGACACCACAGATAGGAAACCTAAGAACAATTGACCTCACTTCTCTGCACCTCAGTATGCTCATCAGATAATTATGCCAGTGTTGTGGGGGCTGTGAGGATTCAGCAGTTATGTAGAGCATTAGTGATGATGCCTGCAACTTATTAAGAATGCAGGGCAAGCGATGAATATTTATACTTCTGTGGAGAAATGTCACTGGGATTCCCCTGGGACCAGGGGCCTCCACAAGGCCACATCCCCAGCCCCTCAACAGCACTTAGGTTGCTTGTTTATGCTCAGTAGTTATCTGTTACTGATTGACTTTATGAGAAGTCTAGGTATTTTTTTTGTTTGTTTGTTTAAAATCTAGCAGAAACACTTGTAGTTTGTGACCTGTTAACCATAAGTTTTAGGAAGCTTCAGGTCTCAGGATCAAGGAGATTAGTGGAGTGAAACAGTTTGCCAGACAAGATGTTAGATCTGGCGCCATCTTACACAATGGTTATAATTACTATAGACCAACGACCTGGAGTTGGAACGAAGTGTCCTGGTTTCATGGTTATGTGATCTTGGTCTATTAAACTTACTTGTGCTTCTGTTTTGTTGATTGATAAAATGCCTGTGAAATAACAATGCACCTTGAATGACTATAGAAATGTAAAGTTATATCAGAGTTTTAAGATCTTGAAGTGTTCCTTGCACATGGAAAGTTCTTGATGATTCTGATATTGCACTAAAGGGTTAGACTAACAGCCATTTTTACATCTACCATATATATTGTCTTCCCTGAATGAGACCAAATCACATCACAGTTGTTTAATGAAGACTGAGAAGGGAAAGAAGTTCTTTAAAATTAAAGAACTCTTTAGACTAATACTACATGTTATTAATTAAAAAGCATAATCAGAGATCTTAAAGCAAATCCTGATGTGCAGATATTTACAAGTCTACAACTTTTACCTGCTTTGACCATGAAATTAGATAAACAATGATGATATGTTTGTATTTTTATTTTTATAAGTCTTAATGACTCTGTCATTAATCTCAATTTTGCTAACTCCTTTAAAGGAGACATTCATATTTGAGGGAATTAAAAATTTCAATCCCCCAAAAAACTGTTAAAGCAATTGAAAGAAATGATCAGTAAACTGTGTTTGGGCTCATATATTTGTAGTAGAGTTCTGTGGAGGAATGGTTGGAGAAGAGTCTGAAGGATTGATGGATCCTCTATGTTTCAGTTTTTGCCATTAGCTAGAGTATTAGTTTGTAAATTCTGACATAAATTACAGATGCTGATCAGGGAACAAGTTCCTAAACTTGGAAGTACTGAAAGAAAAACCCGAATATTCTCTTGAGTCAGTGGGAAGTCATTTAAGTCAATGGCTTAATTGGAAAAGTCAAACTGCCTTTAAGAGGAATTTAGTTTTAATGGAGCAACAGGGGGTGGAGACAGAGATAAAGAGTAATTTACCTGGGGGCAAATCTCTCAGATACTTTATTTTTCAAAGTGAATATAGGTGATGTTCTGCCCGTGACAGGGGGAGGTTGTGGAGATGTAGAAAATGGAGTTTAATTGCATGAATTACTTCCCGAGTTCCTAGAGGGAAATGAGGAATTTAAATCTCTAGTTAAGTATAGAAAAAGGTCAAACTTCAAAAGAGTTTCAACTTTTGTGAAATATTAACCAACCATTTGAAAAATACTAGCAGGGCAGGGGAGGGATTTATCTAAATGCTAATTTACCCATAATTTTCAGAGTGTCCCACTCTGGCAAATAATAAAGATGAGACACTTGTGTTGATCCAAAAATCCTGTCCATTTTAGCAAAAATGTTAGGCACATTGAAGTGTAACTGGAAAATCTTGTAAGCTCACTGGCTTATGTCCCTAAGCCCGATTCCGACATGATCAACACCCTTCTATGGAAGCTCACTGGTTCCACTTCTTTCATAGTTTGAAGGGGCAGGTATGTATATTCAGTATGTAAAATATTGAGCCTATTGTTATGGTCCCTCAAGCTGGACCCTAAAGAAGCACATTCTCAAAGGAAATATTATCATTCCAACACTTTCTTCTTATGTGGCGAGTTGTACTCCCATCTACCCTGCCGTATCTCTCCGAGTCTCATAGCCTTTGCTGGTTTACTTTACATAGGTAAGAGTGGTGTGGTGCACCTTCAACCTTGTGGAAGCAACTGGGAGGAACAATGAAAACGGCATTTATGTATCATTGTGAATCATAGCTAGGGGCAGAGAGGATGGCTTCCTAGGCAAAGTGTCTGCGAAGCAAGCGAGCGTGAAGACCTGAGTTTCATCCCCAGCCTGCAAGTCCAGGGCTGAAGAATTAGACTGGACAGCCTTGAGGGCTGAATCAGTGAGCTCAAAGTTCAATCTTATCTCAAAACTAAAGCGGAGAGCAACTGAGAAAGACGGTCAACATCTGTCTCTGGCCTCTTCATGTGTATGCACGTGCACACCTGCCCACACATGAAAACACATACACACAGAGACAGACACAAGCAAACCACTCAACGCCACAAATACTATCATTTCTGTTTTGCTGTCACCTTCAGATTATATTGAAAATATATGACTCGCTTGTATGGGCAATTCAATCATAGTGTGTGTCTGTGGATTTCTTTAACTCTGAAACCTAGGTATTTTTACTCCTTTTCTCCATTAGCTAGATTACAACACAATGAAGCTGACTCTTCAGTAGATGCAAAGCAAGATATACATATCCTTCAGGAGGATGATACAAAAAATGTGGGATTCAAATATCCTGAGATCTTAAGACAAACAGGAACCCTCCCAGAGAACCAAGAAAAAGAGATGTCACACGCTGTAAAGAAACTGGTTATGCCAGTGAGTTCACACACATCTCTTGAGCTATTTCCTCATTGTGTCACCTGTGAGCTGGTGGTAAAGGCTTGAACTCAGGAGTTCACCTACCTGCCTTCTAATCTTATCTTAACACGTACTGCCTATATATGAACACCAGCAAATTAAACAGACCCTGGAGTTTCACCTGTTCGTATGAAATACATGACTGATAACAGCAACCACGTCATAGAAAAGTGAGGATTAGCAAATATTATCCATGGAAATCTTTGCACCATGTCTGATATAAGATAATAGTTTACATTTTTGTGGTGCTGGCTGTGTTTATTCCCAACAGTGAGATCATAGATACAGAGTTGGCCCGCTGCCTTCTAAAGGTACTTTCTGAGATCAGTGCATCCCGGAAATGGATGCTGAGAGATAAAGGAACCCAGCAGCTGCTGCGGGAAACAGTGGAGGCACCCACTTTATCTCATCATGTAGCATTCATATATAGCATCTGTATGTTTTATCAGTGTAGCACCAAAGCTCCAAAGCCGGAAGCCCGAAAGAATATAGCTTTAAGAGACAACCCAATAATCTGTTACCTCTCTTTTCAAAATGAAAGACAGAGGCGAATGATGGAGTGTGCAGAAAGAAATATTTGCTAGTCCTTAAATCATAGCATCAGTCCCTAAAATTTCCCTAAACATTCCTTTTAAATACAACTTCTTTCAAAAATGGGTTTCTTATCTCTAGGATTTATGGATATAGCTTTTCCTGCTACATTGTAGTTTCTAAGAAACTGCATCATAAATAAGTAAATAAAGCCCATGTACTGCTGAATTTTCATTTTGATAAAAATTTGAAGTAAGCCGCTCCCCCCCCCCCCCCCCCCCCCCCATTTCCTCATGTGTGAAATTAACTGTTACTCAAAGGAGTAGAACTCAGGCCAGAGTGCTGGCTCAGACTTCTTTTATTATTATAATATGCATAGATGGTACACATTCAAGGAGCAGATATGGTTTACACCAGAAACTCAGAACACTCCTGTGTTTACTGAATCCCAAATTCCTAGTCAGCACTGTGGGCAAAGTCGCACAGGCAGCCTAAAATCCCTCTGCATAGACACAGGAGGAAGCATCTGCTTTAGCAGCCTGAGAACCTCTTCTGGCTGCCCCGTGGGTGACCTTTTTACTTACTGGACTCTACCTCCGGGTCATCGTGTTACACCCCCTGGAATATGGCGTAGCTACTAATGAGTGCGATATTGGATGCCCACATAAAGCTGATTTGTGAGAAAAGTTTGAGGAAAGTCAGTCTTACTAAGAATTCTTCCCTCGCCTAGGGGGAAGGAAGCAAGGGGAAAGGGTCAACTCTTGAAGGTTGTTTGTGTCTTCCATTTGTCCGGGAAGAGTCTAGAAAATAGAGAATAATATTCCAGAGCCTCACGTTGTGCCTGTTTCGATGGACGTCAAGCATTTTGAAGGCAAGAAGCCCTCTTTTCTCAAATATGCACATGGTCAAGTGTTCTTCAAAGGAGAACATTTCTTCTTGCTCCGTGTGTCCACCTCTCTAGTTCCCTCTTCCTCCTCCTTCCTTTCTCCCACGGCCTCTTTTCTACTGTGGACCACCTGAGATAGGGCAGACACAGTGCTCCTTTCCTGCTGATCACAGCCAAGGCCAAGCTTTTTTCCACTTTCATGTCAAAGTTGGACCCCTTTAATTAAAAAAAGTTAGCATTCTCATGTGATAAGCCATTAATTGCACAAGAATTTGCATAGAGAAATGGATAGTCATTCAATAAATTAGAGAGAAACAGAGTTGCATTTGATTATTTTCAATATGTAACATCTCTGTATGCTTTGAAGACAGAAAAATTATTTTATTTTTTATCATTCCTGATAAAATAATGCCTTTGTGCATGGACAGTGGCAATATTTATTTCTTCATATATTCGGCATCAGAGATAGATGAATTATGATGTCCCCCAGCTCAGGTCTTTCTGACCACTCACATCATTATTTCTTTGACATACTTCATTATTGCCCCATTTCACTTTCAGTGGACTCTTCTGACCCCCATCTTGGTCTTCTTTTCAATAAGACTTAACTTACTGCTTCATTTACTGATTAAAATGTCTGTCTTTACTGAGGTATATTTGGCAAATAAAGTTGTGTTATTTTAGTCTGTGTAATGTGGTGATGATCTGCATATACCATGTGAACTGTTCCTAGTGAAAGCTTGTTCCTGTTTCTATCATGTCCCTCCATTACCTCTTTAGTTTTGGTTGCATGGAGGAAGCATGTACATACAGTTATGTACATAGTTTACTCATTTGCTCATTGACTGGTGTCGCTACAATTCTATCCTCTGCAAAATTTGTTGAAATGTTGCTGTAAACTAAATTTCAAATTTGAAAATATTTGATGTTCTGTCATCTATAGATAGTTGATATTATTTTATAACTATTTTACAGACATCCTCTTTTCCCTGTCTCTGACTTTCTCTTTGCCCCATGAGTACATCAATGACTCTGTGGGCCAGTAGCATGCCGTAAACACTTTTTCATGTGATGCATGATTGATTATATATTGACTTTAGATGGCTGTCCGAAATCATTAAAATAATGTCCATTAATTAGGCTCTGTCTGGGTATAGATTGTTTTAATTTTTTTAATTAGTTATTGTATGTTGGTAATATTTTAGCAATTCTTAATTAGGGAACTGAGGTCATGATTATATTATACAAGGGATGCGTGTTGACAACTCCTGACTCTACACAATTCCAATTTGAGTGGTAAGAATTATGCTAGTGGATTTTTCAAATTTCCTGAGAAATAATTTTATACATTTTAAAAAATCTTTGTTAAGGGAGAATACATCTTTACAAAAAGAAAGTTTATTGATGAAAACCATACATGTCCAGAATGAAATAGCTTTTGACTGCATTTGGATACACTGTGCCTATGTTTTTGGCAAAAACAAAGTTGAAATTCACTGTGTAGAATAACCCTAGACATTCCATCAGATAGAAAGAGCCTAGAATACCACCACTAAAACTGTTCATTAACATTTTTGATAACCCAGTTCACTCATTCATTCATTTATTCATACAACAAAAATATGTTAATTATTTACCGGGGCCAGGAATAGAGCTGATTACCTTTAATGCCTGAATGAATTCTTCTGTTGATGTAGATAGGGGTGGCTGCTTGGAAAACTGTCAATGGTATCATTAAGAAGAAGAAAGTCTCCTGGCTTCAGACCCATTGTGTGTCCTAAGTTGAAAAGTTCCAAGACTTTCTTATCAAATAGACAAAATATATATTGAAAGCCAACACTTGCAGGGTAGTTAAAACTCACCCCTCATTATCTGTTTGGAAAGCAGGGAGGAAGTCCAAGAACAGTACTGGGTAGGGCTGGTCCTGATGGTGAAGAGCAAGACTTCAGACACAGTACTTCTTACCCTTTCCTTAATCAAATATAGCACTATCATGATCCACTGGATGACTTCAGGATGAAATCCAACACTATCATGACCCACTGGATGACTTCAGGATGAAATTCAGCACTATCATGACCCACTGGATGACTTCAGGATGGAATTCAGCACTATCATGACCCACTGGATGTTTTCAGGGTGAAATTCAGCACTATCATGACCCACTGGATGACTTCAGGATGAAATCCAACACTATCATGGCCCTCTGGATGACTTCAGGATCAAATTCAACACTATCATGACCCACTGGATGTCTCCAGGATGAAATTCAGCACTATCATGACTCACTGGCTGACTTCAGGATGGAATTCAACACTATCACAACCTGATGGATGACTTCAAAATGGAATTCAACACTATCATGACCCTCTGAAAGTCCTCAGGATGAAGATATTTTACTTTATTGTTATTGCAGAGCAATGTATGTTCATTCTTACTAACATTCAAAGAGCAAAACAGGTTCTCTGACTGTGCAGGGGTTGTATCTAAGCTTGAATGTATATCAAAGAGGAGTCTTAATGCAGGAGTGACTAGTTCTGGGGCAGAGCCTGGGATTCTGCTCTTCTTAGGTTCTGGTAGTTCAAGCCAGCACTGCAGGTCTATAGATCACATTTCGACTGACAAGGACCTAAGACATCGTTGTGCTCATGGGGGTTTGCCTTTTGTAACTTTGTCTATTTGTTTGCAGCTGTGGTGATGGTCCTAAATAGCATGAGTGTCAGCTGGAGTGCCCGGATCCAGATTTTCCTAACCTTTTGCAAGCTCACAGCAATTCTGATAATTATAGTCCCTGGAGTTATACAGCTAATTAAAGGTATGGACTGAAAAGTAAATGCGTTTTAAACTGTGTATCTGCTTCTGGTCTCTTCTAACACTGACTTTCACTTGTCTAGCAGAATCCTTAATTAGTCTTTGCTTGTGGAACTTAAACTCTGTACTGTCATCTAATTGATTTGAAAGGCTATACTGAGGGTAAGTCAGTATTTATAGTCGAGTGGCAGCAAGAGATTTAAGAGTAGACCAAGCAACAAAAATAAGGTGTCTGAGAATTCTTTTGGTATAAATTAAAATTACTTAGAGTCAAAACCCAAAGTGAAAAAAAAACAAAAACCAAAACACTTCCCCCCAAACACACATACACACACACACAAACACACACACACATACACACCAAAAAAAATGAATTTGCTGTGTAGCTTTAAGTACTGATCAATAATATATCATTTATTTGTACTGCAGAACTTTTCAATAATAGCAACAAATGTGAAAGATAAAAGTATTTCTGGAAAATAATGGAAGATGACTAATAGTTTTTTATTTTCTCATTTGCATTTCCTTTCTCTGAGATTAGTACCCACAGAAGAGCAATGAGGTTTAAGAATAATATTCCTAAAAACAGGATCTTTATGTGACAATAAAAGAGTTGCCAAAGCTTAGTTCTTATTGTTATAATATTTTCCCTATAAAATTTGCATTTCCGAAGAAATGGGGTAGCTTCTGGATTTACTGATCCTGAAGCTTCCTATTTTATAAGATACGAATTTGAGGGATGCTATCATGGCGTTAGGGTTGGCCTGGTAATAACAGTGTGTGCGTTTGCTTAGATTTGTTGGAAATGGCTGAAAGAGAACGAGGGCCCAAGGGGGTTACTGAATTTGCATCAGGAAACAACCGGAAATGATTAGAGCAAATCAATTGGAAAGAGGTGATGTAGCATGTGGGCATGTTAAGTATTGTTTACATTGACATTGCCAGTTCCAAGAAAAGGAATTTCTAGAAACTGAATGACCCTAAAGGAGGAGAATTATAACAACACGCAAGGAAGCTGCAAAGTTCAGCACAACCATTGCCATTGGCAGATGCACCAAACACTGAAAACTTGGCCACTTGAGCTGGGAGAGGGAACTGCTCTTGTCCATTTAATCAGCCTAGTGGGCGATCTTAGAGTCCTGCCAGTAAAACGCTTTCATCAAATCCCAACACTTCAGCCCCAGAATAAATGCAATGAATCGTTTGAACAGCAGAGCCGGTGTGTGAGAAGATGTGGGCTTGCTATCCGGGTTCACCATGGCCTCCACAGAGTTGGCCTGCTCATATTCCATTATGAATGAGGCAAAATTGTCCACACACTCAGTGCTTTTTTTTTCTGGTTTTTTGAGACAAGGTTTCTCTGTGTAGCTTTGTGCCTTTCCTGGAACTCGCTTTGGAGACCAGGCTGGCTTCGAACTCACAGAGATCCACCTGGCTCTGCCTCCTGAGTGCTGGGATTAAAGGCATGTGGCCACCACTGCCCAGCAAAAGTGTATTTTTATTTATTTATTTATTTTTTTTAAGACAGGGTTTCCCTGTGTAGCTTTGTGCCTTTCCTGGATCTTGCTATGTAGACCAGGCTAGCCTCAAATTAACCTGAGATCCACCTGCCTCTGCCTCCTGAGTGCTGGGATTAAAGGCTTGTGCCACCACCACCTGGCCCTCAGTGCTTTTGTCTCCTGGGCTGACTTTCTAATCTTCTGTAGAGAGCATCTCCGATTCTGGAAAGGAGCTGAAGGGTGAGTCACTAGCCCTTCTAGACATGGCTCTTTTCTGGCTTTTCCTTTTGGTATAATGCCAGATAGGATTGGTAGTTAGAGTCTGTCATTGGTTCTGACCCCTCACGTGTGTGTGTGTGTGTGTGTGTGTGCAAAGAGGGGCATGGTTAGCAATTGATACTGTAGTGCAAATTCCTTGAGAACAGAGACCATGATGAAACCCCTGATTCTTTCCTGTCAGTTCCAAAACAGCAGTATTTTAATTATTGCTTATGGTATCTGGAACATAGGTCCACCCTAATTCTTGCTTCTCACACAACAGAGAAATTCCCTGAGGATATTACTGTATTTGAAACATAGTTTAGTACTTTGGAGACCAGACATATTTTCTTTATTACTACAACATTTTATGAAATTGAGATTTTAAAATTTGTGACATTATCATTTAGTTTTTCCACATTTCTCTGAGACCCCAGGAAGAAAAAGACTTCACTGATAAGTGTGGTGTGTTTATTTCTACTCTAATCAGATCCTGATTGTAGCTGGATATTGTGCATTCACTTATGAAGCCTGGAGCTTCCCTTTGAATGTTTCTTTCATCTGCTCAAGGCCTGTGTTATGCATCCAAAAATATTCCTGAAGTTCAGAAACAATGTGCCTCTTTGTGGCACTCTCAAAGTAGCTCATATGAAGAACTGTGGCCCAGTCTTTACAGTTTAGAGCTTGTCTCTTATCAATTACTAATTGCTACACTCTGAAGGATATTCTCTTGTTAGACTAAAGAGACCACAGATCATAAAAGAATACCCAATAGATGTTTCTTTCTTTTAAAAAGTATTTTATTTTTGTGTGTGTGTGTGTGTGTGTGTGTGTGTGTGTGTGTGTGTATGCACCCACATGTTTGTGTATCTACAAATGGTCATGTGCACATGAACACAGGTGCCTGCCAAGGTCAGAAGAGGGCATCAGATGCCCTGAAGCTGGAGCAACAGGTGATTGTAAGCTACCTGCTATGGATGCTGGGAACTGAATTCAGGTCCTCTATAAGAGTAGCACCTGCTTTTAGGTGCTGAGCAACCTCTCAATTCCCAACAGACGTTTCTTTTCTGAATCTCAGTGTGTAGATTTTCCTTCTATTAAGGAATAGACATGTTTCAGTAAAATGGGCATTTCTAATTCAGCCTGCCAGGTTTCCACAAAACTGTATTTAGAAGTTGCTTGCTTTGAGAAAAATATCGCTCTTTGTGTCACACAACCATGTCCTTTTAGCTCCTATCTTCACATCCCATCACTATGAATCCTGGGTCTCATGATGTGGGCAATAGCTGATATTTGACTTACAAGGGAGTGTTGTGTATCCATCATTCACCTTCTGCCCTCATGGCCCACTTTTGTTACTTACTCAAGGTCAGTTTTACACAGAGTCATTTTCTATTTGAGTACTCGTACTTGCTGTTTTTCTTTGGGGGTGGTCGATGACACAGATGCTTTTTTTGTCCAATTTTGAATCTGTGCTTACTAACACAAATCTGATTTTATAATCTCTTAAACTACCCAAAAGATTCAAAGTAAAAGGTACCCACTGTTCACAAAATAGAGAAAAAAAGTATGATGGACAAAAGTGTTCAGTTTATACATTGATGCCAAAGTTGGTAAAACTTGGTTTGGTTTTTGGTAAAATTTCTTATTCATATTTTTAGAAGAAAATGGTGGCATGGACCAAGACAGTGTCAATAAGTTATCTCTATAAAGAAAGCCCTTTGGGTTGGATGGCTTATCACAGTTAATTACACTATGCTGCTGGGTGACATTGGCCATAGACACTCTCATATGAGTGGCCATGGCTGTGCTCCAGGGAACCTTTATATGAAGAAGCCTTGCAGGTTTTGATGGTGGATTTTGTCTGTAGCTTTCCCTGCTTTAGGAGGCAGGTGTCGAATGCACTACAGGGATAAATAGCAGGATGCTAAGTGATGTGAGAGGCAGTGCAGGTGTTTCTTGATGCCTCCTCACTCAAGGCAGACTCTGAGGTTTCTTTTCATTCCCTACCATGTTATACATTATCTTCTAAGAATTTTGCCAAACTCTTAAAACTTCAATTTATGGAAGATGCTTTAGTCTACTGTCGTGGTTAAAACAGAAGACACTCAAGCAAGGGGAATGGAGTTACCTATTTTAAGTGCTACTTTTATCCTGCTGTCATCCACAAAGGAACTTTAAAGTGGTCTAGGTGAGAAGTGTGCATTTGAGATTCCTGTCCTAGCTTGGGTGCAGTTTTAATGGATGGAGTTGGCTATGAACAGAGAATCAGAACAGAGTAGCTCATCTCCCAACCATGTATAGAGTTGGAATAAATAATAATTAGTTCTTTGCAAAGCTCTAAAAATCCTCAAATTCTAATTGCAGGGCAAACACAGCACTTTGAAGATGCATTTTCAGGAAGAGATGCAAATCTAATGGGGTTGCCCTTGGCTTTTTATTATGGGATGTATGCATATGCTGGTTGGTAAGTTGATATCTCCAGATACTTTATTAAATTACTTTATTTGCCTTTTCTCTTGTTAATCTGTCTTTTTGTTGTTGTTTCGTTTTTTTGAGACAGGGTTTCTCTGTGTAGTTTTGGTGCCTGTCCTGGATTTCTCTCTGTAGACCAGGCTGGCCTTGAACTCACAGAGATCCTCCTGGCTCTGCTTCTGAGTGCTGGGATTAAAGGTGTGCCCCACTGCTGCCTGGCCATCCTCTTGTTAATCTGTCTTTTATCATAGGAGTGTCAACTCTGATCCTAGTGATGGGTGAGGAAGCACATCACACATTTCTTCTCCAACTAGATTTTCATTATGTCATGTGCACAGCTATTATATAGTCAAGTTTCAAGTAACATGGAATTTTCAGAAATGAAGACCTACAAAGCTAGGACAATTTTTTTTTTTTTTATATAGCCAAAGGATGTAAAGCAATGCTAATAGACTGGAGGGAAATTAAGTGATGTGTGTTTGTTTAGATTCTCCTTGTCTTCTTTGTATAGCATTTCTTCCTCCTGGGATAGGATAGAACCTGTCTCAACCAAGACTCTTACGCTTCAGTATGATACAAGGTGGAGCAGAGAACTGCCCAGCTACTGTCCACAGAAAGGCTGGAGGAAGTACGAGACACGTATTTTAGGTTTTACAGTTGGCTTTGCGGGAGACAGGTTCTGGTTTCTGTGAGCACTCAGGGAACACAGATTCTAGCTTCTGCAGTTCACCCTGGGAGGGAAAAAAGAGAAACATGAAGGGAAGGTGGGAGGGTAGTAGAAAGAGATCCTTCTTCAGAGAGCCTTCCAGTTTCCTCCAGGGTGGCAGAGCCTTTAACTTATGACGTCATTTCTGAGCCCCCAGACAGTCAGGGTTGCTATTAGATTTAGCCCCGTGGCATAAAAATGAAGAAACAAACAGATGCTGGGGTTTAAAAGCCAGTATACATTACTTCTAATCATTCATCAGTGAGGATGAAACAGTGCCATAGGGTACTTGGGGTTAGTACCTGCCCTGTCAAAAGGCCTTTGTGCCAGAGTACCAAGGATATTTATAAATAGTAGTTAATGAATTTTTTTTTTTGTCTACCCTCTCATGAGGAAGAAACACTTGAGATGTAGAAATGAGATGGTCTCAGGAGATCAAAATGATAAAGACAGGAAAGGAGAAATCACAATAATAAAAGTCAAGTGGTCGAATGGTATGCACCATATTCAAGGGCCTTTACACATTTCATTAAAATGTTTCCAGTAGCTGAAAACACAAACAGGTAGCCAATACGACTGGCACCACCATGCCATGGATTCGTTTATTTCCTTCATTCTTGTGTGCCTGTGATTCCCGCTGCCCTGGCACAGCAGTGTTTTGTGGAGGAGCATGACTCACAGTAATCAAATATCAGAGAGGCAGTTCTTGTAACTAAATTTTATTGACCTTGTAAGTTTTAGTTGAAATGACTATTTCAAGAAAGCCCACTAGGTACAACAAAATCGAAACACTAGAATCATTGCAGGAAGATTAATTTTCATTGTTTTAGGGTAAATAATTGTAGTAGTTTTTTTCCATATTTATTAAACCAGTAGTTAAAGCTGTGATAACACTCTGTAAGCCTAAAAACACTACCAAGAAACTTCGCTATTGCAAAAGTTATGTAAATATGTATATAACATGAATTCATTTTTTTCTTCTTTCTTCCTCCTTTTATTTTATGTTTTTGGATCTTACCTTCCAAATGCATTCCAAAATAAATAGAATATGTACCCTATTAATCTCACAAATTGTGAAAATATGGCATTAGAAGAGAATCAGCAGAGTATGGCTACATGGGTTTAGCATAGCTTTGAAGTGAAATATGTTTGAAGGTTGTTAGGTTACAGCATAAGAAGATCAGTGTAAAATATTTGTATACCCAAAGAAGATTTTTGCAGCCATTGTGTGCACACTTTAGTTTTGAATCTCAATGTTTTTGAAGCCTTTCACTTTTGTTCAGAGCACAATGTGGTGCTAAGCCGAGAAAAGGACTGAGTGTGATCACAGTGTTAGAAGCCGAATCAACTCTTCTCTCTTTTGAGCCTGGATCAGGGCTCCATGCCCTGGGGCAGCAGCCAAGCCACAGTGAGGGTCCCTGGGAGCCCCAGAGCAAAGCAAGGGAGGGGAACAAGGGCTTTCAGCTCCAGCTGGGTGCTGGGAGCCTGTTCTACTCTGTCAAGAATGTGGAATGTGGTGATCTTCACAAGGCAGATTTGATTAATTCTGTTGAATGGAGTTTCTTTTGCCTGTGAGCACCATGCATCTGTTCCCACGGAATATTAAAACATTTCTACCCTCACTCCACTACCACCCGGCACTGAATATTCAGGTCACCTGCTTCATGTAGAGCCAATTTTCTCCACTTCTGAGGTTTTTGAGGGGCGGTGGATTTTTCCGTGGAAAAAGACTCTTTTCATCTTGACTTATCTTATTAATATTGTATTTTACTGATGCTGAGTCCAAAGTGCCACTTGCTTTCACCTATAATGGAAGTTTACAGAAAACTTTATTTATACACCCCCCCCCCCATAATCCTTGTGTCTCTACTCTAGCTTGAAGAGCCAGGAACCACCAATTTTTCTGTGTGTGTTCTTGAAGATTCAGTCACAGTATTGGAAAGTAAGTCTAGGATTGTAAATGAGAGGTTATCTGATCCAAATGGCTTAGCTAGGGGATGATAGGGAGCTATTTAGCTTCATGGGTTGTTATGATGGCTTAATGCTGCTTTGTGAAGAGGGGGAATGACCTGGCTATTAATCTATGGCCCTCAGTCTGAGAAAAGAGGAGCAGAACTAGGAGAGAGAGTGTGTGGGTTGGGCACTCCAGAGATACACCTATTATTTCCATGTAAATGGATTAAGGTGGGGTCTGAAATGGTCTCAAAGACTGGAGCATTGTAAGAACAACCTTTGCTATCTGAATTGGCCATCTTTTACCCTATGGTTGCCAAACTGGCTTGTACATTTACACATTGGGACTGTGAATGGCTATCCCTCCCTGAATTGCTGTAGAACAATATTTGACTAAGGGAATTTAAAGAAAAGGGGGGGGGGAGGAACAAACCTAACATGAAGACTTTGTCACGAGACAGAAACAAAGCACCGATGGTCAGGAGTTGCAAGCCAGGCTGTTACCTGTTTGGACCGGCAGCGTGCTAGCCCTCTGTTGTCCTGGTTACCTTACTCTCAGAGAGTGGTCACCTCCAGCTGTTGGGCTGAATAGGAAAAAGACACCACCAACCCTTGGGGACCCTGAATGGAGTAAAGTTTTGGCTCTGAGGAGCACAGAACCTATCCAGAATGATGAAAACTCCTTCACTGAAACATGATTAGGGGAAAAGAAATCATTAGCTCAGTCAGGTCATGGAGTCGGGTCAGAACAACTTTCATATTATTGCCAATGTCTGTATTCAGAGAAATACATCTGCCAGTCCGCCTGTGGCCTTGGGGAAGTCAACCAATTTCAATCCTGTGTCTGGGTCCAAAGCTAAGCACAGCGTGGTGAGATTTTTTTTTTTCTCTCTCTTTTCACTGTGTGATAGAGAATTGGTTTTCAGTGTCTTTTGTCGCCCTCTTTAATCGAATCCTCAATGGATTTAGTCTCCCTGAAACATCAGCCAAGATGTATGCCTTTGTGTCAAATCTCACCTCAAGGATCTGCTTCCTTTAAAAGTCATGTACAGGTTGGGTGCTACAATGTGGGGGCAACTATTGCTTTTTATGCACAGTCATAGAAAATCTGAGACAATAGACCTTGTGAGTATTCTCTAGGGACCTTGAGAAGTAAACCAGGGGAAAGAGACTACTGTGGCCTTCATCCCATACTGAGACCAGACAAGTGTCAAGGTATATTTCCCACTGTGTATGGATTTTTTTCACTGAAATGATCTACTGTCCTCCTCTCCCCTCCAAACTGTAGGAAAAATATTTGAAGTCATATTCTTTTTCACAAGTATTCCCCTCCTTGCCTTAAGGTTATTGGAAAAGGCCAGCTCATAAACTATTAAGAAGCAACGGACTATCTCTGACATGCAAAACCTGGCACCATTCCTTAATTCATGTGATTTATTCTGTTTGAGGTGTTATTTATATTTTGCTTACTTATTTTATTTGTTCCCCATACTTCCTGTTGCCTCAGGCTTATAACGAACATGTCAAATCTGTCTCAAATAGCACATTCCACAGCACTATCTCTGGTACACTCAATGCAGGAATAGTAGCTCATTTATAGTCCACACTTATAATTCTTTCAGCCAGTCTTGCATTATACGGTAAAAAATGGAGCGTGCGCATAGCAAGGGTTGCACTGACCATTGCTTTTCCTATAATAACAACATCATATGCATCCTGTTATATGTGCACTCTCCTAAGGCAACAGCAGCTGTTGTTTTTAGACGTTTAACTTTCTAGTTGTTAAAACATATTGTTAGTTTTATATGTGTGTGTATATGTACTTTTTATATCACCCTTATTGCTACTGTTTCTTCAATGTATTTCTAATATTGATTTATAACTTGGTCGTTAAAGCTGTAGCCCTTTTGTTCTTGAACGTCAACTGACTAATGAATTCAGATAGGATTGTCATGAAGGTGAGGCAAGACCAGCTTCCTCCCCTATCTTGTAGGCTGTGAGATGCTTTAAGCATGTGCCAGGCAATGGGCTAATATTCTGGATATTTGTTTTTTGAGAGAAAAGAATTTGGCTTTCAGACTTGCGATCCCCTGTGCCATGCAAGAGGCTATTTTAGCACCAAGGAATAATAAGATAACCGTAGAATGCTTGGCTTTCCGTTCAGTGAGAGTTCCCCGAGCTTATAGAAAGAAGATATAGCAAGTTCTTATTGTTATGTTCATCTGTTCTCATGAGGATTCTTTATTTCCTTCAGCTGTGCTTTGGGGAGGCGTAGGAAGAAGTTAGTAGGGCTTAAAGGGCCTCCAGCAGTCCCTTTTGGTTAGAAAATGAAATCAAGGATGGAAGGCATTAGCCATGTCTGTGTGGGCTTGGTAGAAGCTCATTGTGAAGAGAGCAATCAGAATTTCTTGGACCCTGACATTAGGATAAGAAATGGAGATTCCATTGGCATTGAAAGTGAAATATTTTGTGCCTAAAATGCTTCTTTTACATGTAATTCTCCAAAAAGTGTCATGGACCTGGGAAATGGTCGAAATTCCTTGCTTTGTTTGTTCTTGATGGACAGTGTAATAAGTAACAATGTGACTACAATTAACTACCTGAACATACCCAAGACCTCCCATCCTCCATCAGCCTGTGAATCGGGTTATATAGAGTAAACATGGGCAGTGACTCTAAAGGAAAAAGTGTGAATGGAAGGTTTAATCTTTTTATTTTAGTTTAAAAGTATAAAGTGGTGAATAGTATGCATTTCTGGGGTACAAAGAAATTAGGTTATGGTTTATGAATAGAACATGAAATAAATAAACCAAAATAACACTTCCATAACAAAGTATAGATTTTAATTTTCTGTGGTAAAGCATTTGAAATTTTCTCTTTTAGATAATTTGAGACATGTAATAAACTATCATTTCTACAAGTTTTGGTCCCTGCTCATACACTGTGTTCTGTGTATAAAGTCAATAGCACTTCTCTACAAGGCTGCCCTCACATAATTTGGATCCTCTTGTTTCTAGCTTTAAATTTAGATTTACAGGAAGCACAGGCCACCTTATACTTAATCCCCCCCCCCCCCCCCCGACACACACGCTTTCTTGCACACTTGTTTGGCTGGATACTATAGCATCTCTCCTTTCCTTATGTATAACCATTGCAGCACACTTCTGGGCTTCATTCTAACCTCAGCCTGGAATAGCCTCATGACACCTCAGTAAGGTAAAGTTGTGTGTCCGTCTCAGGTCGGGAGGAATTTCCTCTGGAAAGGCTTTCGCCACTGTAGCTCAGGGCTGTCTCTGCCCCTCCAGCTCGTGCGCCCTTTCCAGGCAGAGCATCATGCTGCTCTGAGCCTTCCTGTAAACCGTGAGCTTGCCCTACAGATTACAGGGTTTTCCACTCTCATTACCATCCTGTCTCACATTTTAATGCTTCCGCTATGATCTAGGAGAAAACGTTCTGTGCGAATTCTGACTGGTTTTCCATTTGCATCTTCCTGCATACAGTTTTTCTGTCATGTTTGTGATTCTTAGTTTGATTTAAAAAAGTTTAGCATGTGAAACTTTGGATTGTGGTGGCAAAATATACTAATAGTTATTTGTTTACTAATAATACAGGTTTTACCTCAACTTTATTACTGAAGAAGTAGAAAATCCTGAAAGGTAAGTAACCTACTTTACTGTGAGATTTTTGTTAGAAATAAAATTTGAATTTTCTAACTGAATAATAGGCTTGAAGAGGAAACCCAGTGTGGGCTGGTTAATTTCACTGCTGTTGATATAATTGAACTGTTAAATAAACTGACCAAAATTTTCACAATAAATCACCCCCCAAAAAATATATGTTATATCTTAATATTAACACATTAAATATATTACATGTAATCATATACCATATTCAATACTAAATTGACTTATAATATGAAAGTAGGAAAGAATAAAGGTATCTTTTATATAACCTATTTTACATTAACATATACATATAACCTAACATGGACTCTTTATAAGTGTAGTTTGAACTAAAAAAGTTGATTATTTCTACATTTACCTTAAAAAGAAATCTACGCAATTAGAGAGAATAATATAAGGAATGGAAACTTGGTGAAGTAACTGAAAGATGTTATAGGAACTTGTAAATTTTGGAGCTCAGTGATTTTTTTAAATGTTTTCTTCTTTAAAAAATTGATAGATGATTTGGTGTTAATTAAACAACATGTCAAGATAGGCTGCAAAATTAATTATTTTCATGATTTGTGAATAAACATTTGACTTTGTATAGAAAAAATAAATTTTTGTGAATCAAAGGAGGAAAATTTAAGAAATATAAAATATAATGATATTTAACTCATCTTGCTTTTATTCAGCATAGGCTATCTTCTAACCATTGTGCTAAGCGCCTCTTTCAGGATGAATGGGGCTCATCTTCAAGTATTTTATTGTGTTTTCCATGAATGAAAGTGTGGAAACAGAAATGTAAGAGTGTGACTAACATCACAGGAGAGTGTTAGCTAGCAAAGAGAAAATGAGATGTCTTTAACTTTACCCTAGGGCATGTTTTCCATCAAGAGTCTTATGTGTAAGTAAGGGTCCCCAGGTAAACAGAGATACACACACACACACACACACACACACACACACACACACACACACACGGGGGTGGGGTGGGATGGGAGTTAGAGATACACACAGAGAAAGATAGAGAGAGAACGAGAGGAGGGAGGGAGATAGAGCAATACAGAGAGATGCAGGGAGATACAGAGAGAGGAGGGAGGGAGAGAGAGAGAGAGAGAGAGAGAGAGAGAGAGAGAGAGAGAGAGAGAGAGAGAGAGAGAGCACTCTGCTCTGTTGGAAGAAAAGCCGAAGTATGGAGTTGAGAAAGTATACCATTGTGAAATTGGTTGGAATCAGAGACTTTGCCTAAGGGGTTGACAGTTCAAGGTAAGATGAACTATCAAATTATGGCCCTGGGTATCTTGGGAGATGGTTAGCTAATTGCATTTAGCCAAGTATCAGAGATATCAGGGTAGAACATACAAGCCAACAATGGAAGTTAACATGATGCGTTATAGTATCTGATTCAACTGCTATGTAAATCAATATGTAATCTCAACATGAAGAAGGCCAATTCATTAAGATAGATGGTCAATTTGTAAGAATATTTTCATATTTTTCACTGAAATTAAAGGCAGAGGAAATATTTACCAGGTACCAATTCTTATATTTCTTGGAAATGATACACAAGCTACCCAGTGACTGTAAGCATACTGATTATAGAGATAAGTAGGTAGGCCTGTCTTTTTAGTTTTGTAGACTCATTACTGTGTGTGTGGTGATGCAGAGAAAGGACAGTTCATACTAGGTTTTATGTAAAGTATTTATGGAAATCTGATTATGTGAAACAAATAACTAGGGCTTAGTATGGCATTTAAAGCTAAAATATTTTAAAGGACCAATTGCTGAATCTAATGTAAGAGAATATTATGAAAAATAGCAAGTTATGGTTTATGGACATGTTCTAGATCACAGTATCAGTGATATAGAAGCAATTCATGTTCCAGGTTCAGTTACTTAACAGTTTAGACAGACATGTTTGCTAGGTACATGTTACCATTGTGTGTGTGTGTGTGTGTGTGTGTGTGTGTGTGTGTGTGTGTGTTGTCTTTAAGTGCTTCATACCACTGTTAGGTGTTTCTGATGCACGGCCCTGGAGTGGCGCTTGGGTGAAGGAGTCTCTTCCTTAGCTATATTCCATCTCTTAGTTTCTGACATGGATTAAGCCCATGCTTCAGTGTCTACAAACACTAAAGAAAGGTGATGGCGATGGATCGATTCAGTGAATTTTTCCACTGAAAAGAAATTTTTCTTGTCTAAAAAGAAAAAAATGGGGGCTGGAAAGATGGCTCAGCAGTTACGAGTGTGTGCTGCCCTTTGCAGAGGACTGGAGTTCAGTTCCCAGCACCTACATTGGGCACTCACAACTGTCTCTAACTCCAACTCCAAGGAGTCCTGTGACTTTGGTCTTCATAGATGCCTGTACCCATGTGCAAATGCCACCACACAGAGATTAGCACATATACATTGCCTTCAAAGATTAAAATAAATCTGAAAAGTACAAAATAATAATAGTATATGCCTACTGGGTGTACTGAAGAGTTAGTACATATATTTAGATTAACGATAGTTATTTTTTAATCTCCACATAATTGACTACTGCTACCTTTATTGTTGTATTTTTATTTTAGAGCAAGGCAAACTGTTACTCATTTAAGAGTGTTTTCTAGGTTTTGACATTCCAAGCAATTGTCTTTTCTCAGTCATTTTTGAAAGGAGTATGAAAAATTACTATATTGTACTGCATCCAGTCCCTGCAATTTTTCAGGGCTGGAGTTGAATATTTGTTTCATTAGTCTTATTTTTGTGCATAGAACTCATTGAGGTTTTATATTTAGAGAAGTAAGGCTACTTTATAATGGAAAAAATAAAATACAACTTTTATAATAATTAAAAACTAACTTGGACCTGGAGAGATGGCTCAGCAGTGGTGATCACTTGTTGCTCTTCCAGGGGATATGAATGAGCTTCCCAACACCCACATCAGGCAGCTCACAACCACCTGTAACTCCAAACGCCTTTAGTTCATTCAGCACCTACACTCAAGGGGTGTACGTGCACAGACATAGACACATACACATAATCAAAATAAATCTTTAAAAGGAACTATAAATCAGTCTTAGAATATTATTATGTGGTATATATTTGAATAAAATAAGATTTTGAGGGACTTGAAACTTGTAGTTTCAATCATAAAGCTCCACATAATCCCAAGAAATACTAGAATTTTAAAATATTGGCTCAAATACATTCAGTTTCTGGAAGTGTTGATTCTGATGATGATACATTCTTTGCTAAACTTATGTACAACACTTTTACTTCAGTATCTGATCTTTAAGATTTTATTTTATTACTTTAAATTATATATGTGTGTGTGCGTCTTTGTGTCCGAATGTGTACAGGAGTGCAGGTGTCTGCAGAGCCCCAAGTGTTGGATCTCCGTGAGTCATGTCAGTTGTGAGCCTCCCCACGTGGGTGCTAGAAATAAAAGTTGGTCATTTAGAAAAGTGTGATCTTTAATTATATTTTTTATTATTTAGAATAATTTTTAAATTTAAATGTATTTTGACCATATTTTTTCTCTCCTCCAAATCCTTTCATCTCCTCTCCCCCTCCTTACTCACCTAACTTTAAGTTCTTTCTCAAAAAGAAACAAAAATCCAATATAACAACAAAATGAAGAAACGAAATAAAACCAGCTCCCCAACTCTCCCCCAAATTGTAACCAAATAAAAGCACACACACACACACACAAAAAAAAAACAGTGGCATCCAATCAACTACTCTTGAACATGAGGCCTGTCCTAGAGTGGTTGATAGACTCAGTGTCACTCTATTGGAGAAAAATTGATGTTCCCTCTTGCAGCAGGTATAAACACCAGTTCAGTTGTTAACCTTTACTTTAGTGGATAGTTTTTATTCATTTATTCATTCATTAACTCATTTATTAATTAATGTTTTAATAAGGTAAAACAAAAACTGTCTCATCAAAATTGGACAAGGTGAACCAACAGAAGGAAAAGAGAAGGCATAAGAGTCAGAGACCCACTCATTCTCACACTCAGGAATCCCATCAAAATGCTAAACTATAATATATATTTATATGCAGAGGACCTGGTGCAGACCTGTGCAGGCCCTGTGCATGCTGCTTCAGTCTCTGTGAGCTCATATAGGCTTTGATCATGTTGATCTAGAGGGCCTTGCTTTCTTAGTGTCCTTCATCCCTCTGGCTTTCCATCTCCTCTTCCATGGGGTTCCTGAGTTCTGAGAGGAAGGATTTGATGGAGATATATCAATCTAAGGCTGTGTTTCAAGGTCTCTCACTTCATGTGTAGTGTATGGTTGTGGGTCTCTGTGTTCCCATCTGCTGCAGGAGGAAGTTTTGATGATGATGGCTGAGCAAGGCACACTGATCTATGAGTTTAGCAGAATATCATTAGCCGTCATTTTATCAGTCTCAGGTTCTTGGTCACCCACTCCATCTCGTGGAGTGGGTCTTTAGTTAAATCAGTTGTTGGTTGGTTACTCCCACAAGCTTTGTGCCATGACCGCCCTCACATATCTTGCAGACAAGACACCACTGTAGATAAAGGGTTTCTGACTAGCTTGGTTTTGTTTCTCTTTTGACAGTATGCAGAGTACCTTCCTGTTCTAAGGTCACTGGAATGTAGGTGAAGGCTTTATGTAGGTACTGGCTATACATACCCATGTTCAATGAGTTGTGTATGTGTTATCTTCAGCAATGGGCCTTGCTGTCAGTGTGGAGAGCAAGCCTGGTTTGTTTGGAGATTCCTATGTGACCCCTTTGGCCAACAACTCAATTAGATGTAAACTAACATTCTCTTAACTGCTATGAAATCTCTCATATAGCATCTTACTTAAGGGATTTCTTAGTACATGTTAAGAGTCCTGACAATTTTGAAGTCATTACAATGATACAAGTTGAAGAACAAAAGCTTTGATTCCTTTTTCTTCTTTCACACAGCATACTTAGTTAAGTTGGTTCTCATTTAGAAGACTCTGCAAAACTTAACCAATATATTCATTTTCTC